GAGCCTGGCTTGCACCAGGAAGGAGAGAAAGTAACATGCCTGCATTTCCAACCACACTCCTCCTACTTTGGGAAAGCTCAATCTGGTCTTTATACTCCCAGAATGAACCTCTCAAGACAAACTAGCTTTCCTGGCTCTGGAGTCCTACTGACCTTTGCAAAGCTGACCACAGACTAAAAGGCATCCTGGTTGGTCATTTTTATTTTTGATAATGTCAAGCTTGAGAGGGACTAGGAACCAACAGATGCTCCTAACAGCAATAATAGCAGCTAGAAATTATTGAACATATACCCACCAGGGACTGGGCTTAAAGCTTTATGTATTTTATCCCTGAACCTAAGCATTAGTTATCATCATCATTACCATCGTCATTATTATCACCCATTTTATAAATGGGGAAACTGAGGTTTCAAGAGGTTAAATAAGTTGCCAATAGTCACACTCACATTGATGAAGTAGAATTAAAAGGGGGACAATCGCCTCTTGGCCTTTTGGCTAAGATCAAGTGAACTAAAGTGGGGACGACCCAAAAGGTGTGTCTGAGAGCCCTTATGAGCCACCCTCAACAGCCACATCAATCCTTAGGGCTCCTCCACTGTTGGGGTTTATCAACAGGAACTGGACATGTGTGCTACATGTGGGCCCTGCCCTTTCCTCTTCTTTTCTGCCCTGGCAGTGGCCCATCCAAACCAGTCATAACCCTGAAGGAGTGGGGATGAGCAGAGCCCACGTTGGGGGACAACCCAAAGTGGCCCTCGATATACCTGTTGGCATATTCTGACCCACAGCGTCATTCTTTCTAGATACCAGATAGGGGTTGTATTTGGGGTGTTGATGCTCATCTTGTTTGTGCACTGGATGTAGAACACTGCCTTGTATTTGGTTGTAGGTACTCATGTCTTCCTCTCCACACTGATTTAAGCCAGGGAGACTTGAAATGGTTGATGTCACTTGATAAAGTGGGCTCCTTGAGGCTACATCTCTCTAGGGATTGTTTCTTAACATAATTCTCTCCCCTGGCTGGGAGAATTCCTTCCTCACCCTGCCCACCCCAGTCCTGCAAGATGCAATTCTACAATCTCTCCTTCATTCTCCCCGTCACCATCACAACTCTCCCCTCCCTTTCTGCTGCCCTATCCACAGGGGGCTGTCATTTAAGGTTCCATTGGATCCTACTTTCTGCAGGAGACTCTTGACCAACTCCCTAGATCCATTTATATACTTATCCCTCTGCATCAGCTGGAGATTAGTCCCAGGACACCCGGACCTGACCCCATGGATACCAAATACCATAGACACTCAAGTCCTTTCTATAAAATTGCACAATATTTTCATACATCTACACGCATCCTCCCTTATATGTTGTTATCCCTAGATTACTTATTATTCTTAATTCCATGTAAATACTGTGTTAAAAGTTGTTATACTGGATTATTTAGGGAGTAATGGCAAGGAGGAAAATATGTATACATATTCAGCACAGGTGCAATTTTTTCTTTTTTGTGATGTGAGGGATCAAACCTAAGATCTCACTCATGCCAGACAACCACTCTGCCACTGTACCATATCCCCAACCCACTTGCAATTTCTCTTCCAAATATTTTTAATGTACCATTGGTTGAATCCATGGGTGCAGAACCCACAGTTGACTGTACCTTTTCCATTATTTGAAACACTATACTTCCAGACTTTTCCATATCATCCTAGGACTTGAACCCAGGATCAACAGCAGCCAAGTAACAGAGCAGAGGGAGCACACTGGTTTATTGCAGGTGGCCACAGGGTGTCCACAGTCCTTCTAGATCTTTACTGAGGCTGCTCTTCCTTCTCTATCCCCCTACCATCACACTTCTGTCCCTCAAATCCCACAAACTCAAGGAAAAGATCTTGTGGCACTATGGAGATGTCCCATGTTGTGTGCAGATGAAGGTCATTTTCTCTGCTCCTCCTGCCTCCCTGGTCAATCAAGTAGGTTGACCAGTGTTTCCATAGCAACAAATAGCTCCACCTGAAAGCATCTGGGGAGATCCCTGTTGTGTCACCTCTCCCACCTGCAAGCTCTAAATTCAGAGCTACCAAAGGCTGAGAGTTCAGTTTCAGTTCAGTTCCTACAGAGCTGAGTAGAATGGACCTTGCAATGTCCTTGTCTACAAAACAGAGAGGAGAGAACTTTCATCTTCTCTCACCTCCTAAACTATTCCCAGGTCCCACAAAAGTTGACTAATTTTGCTTTTGCTGCCACTATTAGGTAAACTGCTGAGACAACCTGCTATTTGAATTATTCTCTCTCTCTCCCTATAACATCAATGAAGTCAGGTTATTGGGAGGTAAGAGGAGAAATCATTCCCTCTCTGTTTAATTGAACTTTTCTACTCCTGTGATAGAATGCAGAACAAGTTTACAATTTGGTTTATTCCCCTAATTGTACACATTTGGGTTGTGATGCTCTGTTGGAGTTGGGTGGGAGCCTTTTTTAAATGCAGCATCAGACCACATACGGAAGACCCACCCTTTTACACTGAAAGAAATGGGAAGGGACACAAGACAGTGAAGTTCTCAGGCAGTGTCCTGTTGGGCACAGAAGACTGGCTGTCTGGAAGGGCTAATGGGGTCACATACGGGACCACATATGGGTTTCTCTGCAACTGTGAACAGTGCTGGCTCAGACCATTGGCCACGTAGATCTCAGTGAGGTGCCTACTTCCCACCCATGTATCCCCAACCTGACCTTCAACCATACATGCCATCCTTTTGATGGGGACAAAGCCTTTAATCCCACAAACAAAGAGGGATTTGAATTATTAAAGAAAGAACAGCTGGAATGAGCTGACAATAGACATATATTTAAGGAAGTAACTCGAAGGACTTTCCCTGTATAATTCCAGGCAAATGATCTCCTTCAAAAAGGAGAATGCTGCACAGAATCATTCACATTACCAAAAAATGACATACAGAGGCTACACTCAAAGCCTAGGTGTAGCTCAGAGAAAATGAAAAAGGAAGAGAATCCCCTGACTCTGGTCTCTCAAAGTAGACAGAAAGACATTTGGAACCAGATTATGAAAGAGGAAGAACGAGAGACCCCTTGATCTCAGGGAAAAAGTCAGCATTTGTCAAACATCCAGTGAAATTTCCTTGTCCTTATATGAATAGGTTTCAAACACAGTTGTTGAGAAAATGCTAATATTTATTTATTTATTTCAAGTTTTGTATAAATAGATATTTCTATTCTCTAAACTCATCTATTATTTTAAGTGTGTGTTTTTTTTTAACAGTCAAAAAATGTCCAAGGATAAATTGAAAATACTAAGCTCCCTTTAGTACAGTGGAATACTGGGCAAGTATTCTTTATAAATGAGGGAGATTTCTGTTCTCAGTGGAAAGGTGTCCAAGAAATACAGTAGAGTGAAGAGAAGGAGGTTTTCTCTTTTTTTCTTTCCTTCTGTGTGGTGTTATGCTAGCGATTAAACCTGGGCTTCAGACACGCACTCTACCACTGAGCTAAGCCCCAGCTCTTGAATAGTACAGTCTGCCCTGTCCTATCAATATGGAATGCTTTTTAAATGTGGTTGTGTGTGTTTTGCTGTATGTGTAGAGTTAAATCTAGAAGACATAACAAATTATTAAGAGAAGGCACATTATGCACAGTAGGCTTTTTTGTGTGCTATGAATGTTTATGAGAAATGTAATTAGTTTTATATTCAAAGCAATTCAATTATGACTTTTCTGAAGGATCTGTGGAACCAAAGGCTGGTGTCCAAGCCCTTCTGGGGGAGTGGGCTGTCCGTGGGGCCAATGGTTGTATTTCCACTTGCCTTGTGCTTGCCTGCCTCTTTCCTGGTTGGATATTTGGATGTCTACACGGTCCATGACAGATGCCAGCAGTGGCAGTGATGACAGGCCCAGTGCCACATTCATTCCATTACTTCCAACTCCTCGTTGACTTCCCAATCATCATGGTGAGAGCTCCTTTCTCTTATCTGCACCAAGCAAAGAGTCAAAAGTTCTTGTGAGTGTGATTGTTGAATACCAGGCTGGAAAACTTCCTGATAATACCTAAATTCCTTTGAGAGAGCAGGACTTGGAATCGGGTCAGGAGAGCTGTGTGGCTTCGGCACAGTGTGTACTATGCAGTTCAACAATAAAGCAGAGGAGAGTTGGCAATGCAAAATGTAAGGGGCAGGTGAGGATGTCACAACAGTCCCATCTGGTCTGATAACCTCTGTCCCCAAGACAATTCATCTACCACCCTAGAAAGACTGCACAGGGAACTGAGGAAGGATCTCTGTGTGTGAGCCATTAAGGACTTGCAACATAGAAACAAGCTTATTGGGGATATAAAGGAAATCTAGATAATCAAAATGAATATCAGGGTGAAGTTTCTGAGACACATAACAGGTTCTTATAAACAGGCTTTTGTGGAATGGCTCTTTGGGACCCTCCCGTGACATTCACTAATTCTGACTTTTAGGAATTTAAACTTAGTAGCCAGCTAGGGTTCTCCTTGTTAATAAAGTCTGCTGAGCATTTTGTCCTGTGTGTCCTGCTTTGTGTTTGATGATGATGCAAATGGCATGCTGTCAACTCAGTTCTATCTCTGCCTACCAGCCTGAGGCCAAGGCGGCCATTCTCCTCTGTGCTCTCTGTGTACCCTCATCCCCTTTGTTGTCCTTTACCTTCCACAACTTGCTTTCAGAAGAATGTGGGGAGAAAATGGGGAGAAATGCAGAAGCCTCAAAATAGTCTCACCAATGATGATCAGCCTTTAATAGATCACTCACTTTTCCCTGCCGAACAGACTACCTTCCTAATCACAAGTTTTCATATGAGGAACCTAATCATTTTAAATACATCTTCACTCCTGCCTGAACTGTAAATAAATCTGGGGATAGAAATGTGTACTTCTTAGGGTAGGGGGAGGATTATGGGCAGAAGCATCTCTAAAACAGCTCTTCCAAACCCCTAAACACTGACCCAGGTCTTGGGTTTCACTCCCCCAGGTAACCAGGTGAGTTTCTCCAAGTCAGCAGATGCATTTGCCTTTGAAGAAGATAGCAGCAGCGATGGCCTTTCTCCAGATCAGGCCCGAAGCGAAGACCCCCACAGCTCAGTGGGATCTCCCCCAGATGCTAAAGCCAGTGAAACCTCTGTGTCAACCTCTCTGGGGACAATCCAGGTACAAGAAAAGCCTCGGTGTTGTCATCTCTTTATAGTCTTAAAATTAACACTGCTATAGTTTGTTTTGCTTAGAAACTTGAGTTTCTCTCTGTCTCTGTCTCTGTCTCTCTGTCTCTCTGTCTCTCTCTCTCTCCCTCTCCCTCTCCCTCTTTCTCTCCCTCCCTCCCTCTCTAATTTTCTCCCCCTCTCTTCTTCCCTCTCCCCTGTCCCTCTGTCTCTCTGCTTTTCTATTTTTGTTTCTGTTTTCGGTATTAGGGATTGAACCCAGGGCCTTCATTCATACTGAGCTACACCCCCAGCCCTCTTTCTTATGTAATTTTAAAACGGGGTCTTACTAAGTTGCTAAGATACCCAAGCTGGTTGTGAACTAACTGTGATCTTTCTGACTCCTTGTCCAAGAGAGCTGTGTGTCTTGATGATACATCATCTTAATATCTTTTCTTACTCTCTTTAGACGGGGAATCTGTATGTCATAACAAAAACTCCCAGAAAACACAGAAAGAGAACTCTCAGAACTGTGTCCTTGTCTTTTGAATGTCTATTCTGCCAACTAGATGCCTTTCGTGTCCATTTTTATGGACAGGGTAACTGAGGCTCAGTCTGACCAGGCAACTCACCATCAGTGCACTGGGTTGATGTGCTGGAGTGGGACTGATTTCAAAGTGAACAGTTTTTTCCAATACTGAGGAATTATTGTAGGGTTTTCAGGTAACAGGGAGAATGCTGTGGGAGGGCAGCCTCACATGAGAGGGTAGGAGATGTGGACACAGTGGACACAAGATGTACAAATGCATCCCGCCCTGGTTCTGCCGTGTGCCAGCTCCAAGAAAACTCTCTGGACTATCTCCTTCCCTTTCAGAAGAGTTTAGTGTTGTTGAATGGACCTTCTCCAAAATACTTGGACTGGAGTGTTTCTGATTTGGAATTTTTTCAACTGTTAGAATATTTGCATATATACTTTGGGGAAGGGACCCAAGTTTAAACACAAAATTCATCTGTGTCTTATATACTTTATACACATAGCCTGAAGGTAATTTTATAGAGCACTTTTTAAAATTTTGTAGATGAAAAAAGTCTCATAGTATAGATTTTTTTACTCATGGCATCATTTGTGCCCCCTCAAAAAGTTTCAAATATTAGACCATCTCGGATTTGGTAATTTTTGATTAAGGATTCTCAGCTATATTTAACTACCTCTCCCACTGAAGAGCACCGTACAGATATCAGGGATAATTACAACACGAGTTGTTTAGAGCCCTGTTTCCCGAAACCAGGCTAGTCACTGGTCATTGTTCCTATCTTCACTCTATCAGAGCAAACTTAAAGCTGCCAAGAAAAAAATGTGGAATGGGAGGGAGAGGGGAGACATAAGAAGCGTTCTTTGCGCAAGAGTGTGTAATCAAAGCATTTTTCCTTTCCCTGAATTCTGCAGCTAGTCTTTGCGGCCAACTTCTTTGATAACATCAAACGGTCTATCAGACCATTTGCACGTATTATTCTGACAGTAAATTCCTCAGCTTCTGATTTTAAAATGGTTTAAAGAGAAGATGTGTTCTTTTCTGCTTAATGCTATGTGAAGGGAAGAAGGGAGCAAAACACCAAACAATTCTGGGGGAAAATGCAAAAGGCGTTTTACATCGTTTCACCCAAAAAGTATGTTTGGCCAATGAGGACACTGAGTTTCTGACAGAATAGAATCCCACAGGCCTGTGACAGGTGTCAGGGCTCAAAGAAAAGCTGAGAATCTCAGTGCTGACCTGCAGGGGGAGATCCTGAGCACCCCTGCCCTTTGTGTCAGAGTCACAGCACAGGAATGCGGGAGAGGAAGGGAAGATCATTATTCCTTTTTTGGCATCTTTAGCAGGCAGAAGTATGCCACTCCCAAAGGTTTGCATGGCCCTACACACACACACACACACACACACACACACACACACACACACACAGAAATACACCTGTACATATATACGCATGTACACATGAGCCAACACACACACACGTGTTCACTCATGTGTGCAAACACATATACAGACTCAGAAATGACTCATACTTACTCATACTTACATGTACACTTATCCACTCCTGCACGTACATCCTCATATACACGGAGACATACAAGTGTGTGTGCATATATATATATATATGTGCATATATATATATATATATTCCAATATGTAGGTATGCATAAACATACATACACACAAACATGCAGATACACACACTTAGAATATCATATTTACATACACGCACACACACTCAAATACATATTCATACATACATACACACAGACCTACACCGACATGTACCCATACACACATACTTTCCCTCCAGTTACTAACATGTTTTCCCTCCAGTTTGCTTATTATTCTGTTTTCTTCCCATGTCCTCCTACACCCATTCTTCTCTGTCGCTGTCTTTGTCAGTCTCATTAAGTCAAACAGGTGTACTTTGTCATGGACAGGTAAAACCCTCCCAAAGGGTGACAAGATATCCCAGAACAGGCCAGCCTTATACCTATCTTCTACAATCATTAAGAATTAAATGTTTGCTGGGGATTTAGCTCAGTGGTTCCGCTCCCTGCCTTGCAAGCACAAGGTCCTTAGTTCAATCCCTGGTACCAAAATTTAAAAAAAAAGAAAAGAAGAAAACAGAATTAAATGTTAGGTGGTGATCCCAGCCATGTGGGAGGCTGAGACAGCAGGACTGTGAATTCAAGGCTACCCTGGGCAACTTAGCAATTTAGCAAAACCCTGTCTCAAAATTTAAAAAAAAAAAAGGAGAGAGAGAAAGAGACTAGGGATGTAGTTCAGCTCTCAGTACCATAAACTATAAAGAATGCTCCCATGTGTATTAAAAGTATCCTAACTGGAGGGCAAATTTGGTATTATCCCACTGGAAGGAGTTGGCTGGTCGGAAGCTGGGAGGCCAGCATCAAAGCTATGTGTATGGGTTGGCTTTTAACCTTTCTGTCACATGGCTTTAATTCCTACGTCCTAATAATGCTAAAATTTGAATTTCAGGATCTTGCTTCTGGCTCAGAAAATGACAAGAATGACTCGGCCTCCCAGCCCAGCCACCAGTCAGACACAGGGAAGCAGGGCCTTGGTCCCGTCAGCACCTCTCTCCCTGTGCACGCTGCCGTAAAGGTATGGATGGGCCAAACTCAAGCTCCTGCCTGAGCCTCTGGCCCAAGAGCCAGCTTGATGCAGAGAGCTTTCCCAGTCAGATCTAACAATGCAAAGAGTCACAGGAACCTGTGTGTAAATCTGGTCCTGTAGAAATGTCCCAAGTGAGAGCCGAAGAATGGATAGACCATTGGTGTGTGCAAACCAAGGTCCTGCTAATCTGAGCAGCATAGCACACATCTTCTGTGCAGCAGGGAAGCCCACGTGTTGTGCCGCATTTCTTTCAGACCACAGCTTGGCCAATGTGCACCTGACTCAAAGAGTTCATGAGCTCACCTTTGAGATAGACACTACTGATGGTGATGCACACAGAGTTCAGAAGGGCCAAAAAATAGGCACAGGGCAACTGAATTTAATGCAATGACAACAACCCCAAAGACCTTGCATGAGCTGTATCCTGCAAGCCAGACTCCCTATGGAAATAAACCATAAGAAAGAGGATTTGTGTTCACAGCAGACAAATAGCTGTAATCATTATAATTCTCATTTCATTTTCTCAACATTGTATCTAAAAGTTTACAAAAAGCTCTCTCCTCAACTAGCTGCCTGATATTCATTTGACATTCTTCATATTTTATACTAAATAGAATCTACTTAATTTGAGAGCACATTTTCTTAGCTCTAGTGGTACCACTTGATACAAGCTGAGATAACTCTTAGGAGATTATAGAAAAAAGAGAAAGAAGGTTATAAAGAAGGTTGCAACTAGAATCAATGATAAAGTAACAGTTTTATGTTCTGAATGGATGGTAGGTATTTCAGCTTCCCAATAAAGTTCTCCCACCAAACCACAATAGTATAAACTCAGCTTACATTTCACTCAGCTCAGCAGCTTTGAAATTATGGGGCTGTTGATGAATTTTGTATATTGCAGGGGGGAAGGAGGAAGAGATGACTCAGTCAATATAAGAGAAATTTTATTAACATTTCCACCAGAGTATTTAAATTTTACACAATTCAAATTAGCAAAGCTGTCAACCTCACTGTACTAGGAAGGTTGACAGGAACCCACAGGGAAGACAGACCATTCAGTGAAGAGTGGCATGGACCCCACCCGCTGGCTGGCCACCAGAATGTGTGTGTGTATGTGTGTGTGTGTGCAGGCGTGTGTGTGTTCTTATTGATCAATGTGGGAGCATCTTTGTTGTTAAAGAGTCATCACTTTAGGCTAAGAAGGTACTGGAGGGATTGTCCAAGAAGGAGGCAACCAAGCCGGAATAAAACATCTCTGCCCTTTTGATTTGATAAGATTGTGTGAGCTCAGTGAGCAAATGCATAAAGTCACTCTCTTCTGGAACCATAAAATGTCTGTGGAAGAGGAAGCCTTTCTGCAATGTCTCAGAGGGTGCTCTTAATGTTCAATAAAGGATGATTCCTTCCCTCAAGGAGACTAACGTCCAGTTGGGTTAACAGGGCTAAAATAAATCCAAATGGGTATCTTTTCCAAGTTAGAAAGAAGTGTCCCAAAAGACTTGATAGATGCAAATTCCCAACTAGCACACAAGTTTCTCAACATCACTAGTCATGAAGAAAATGAAAGTTAAAGCCACCATGAAATACTATTACATGAACATTGAGGTGGCTTTCATCAAAAATATGGAAAATAGCAAGTGTTGATGAGGATGTAGAGAAATTAGAATTCTCATATACTGCTGGTCAGAATGTAAAACGGTGTAACTGCTGAGTAAAACAGCTTGATAGTTTCCTCAATAAAGTAAAACAGGATTTGTCACCTGAGCCAGCAGTTCCACTCCTAGCTATATATCCCCAAAGAACTGAAAGCAAGTGTTGAAATAAAAAGTTGTATATGAACATTCATAGGGGAAGTATTTACAACAGTCACAAGTTGGGCCGATTTATTGTCCAGTAACCAGTTCATAATGAGGAAAGCATGGTATACCCATATGACTGAATATTATTTGGCCATGAAAGGAAATGGAACACTAAGAACTGCAGCCAGGTGAATGAAACTTGAAAATGTTATGCTGAGCATAAGAAGCCAGACACAAAAGGCCACATATTTTGTGATTCCATTTAAATAAAATATCCAGAATAGGCAGATTTATCAAGACCTAAAGCACATTAGTGGTTGTCAGGACTCAAAGGAAGGGGAATGGGGAGTGACTACTTAATGGGTCATGGCTCTTTTTGAAGTGATGAAAATGTTGTGGAACTAGACAGAGGTGACAGTTGTGCAATACCTTGTATTTTACCATAGTGAAAAGGAGGCTTTTCCTCAACATCCGTGCCCCCATCACCCTGAGGTGGTTCAGGGAGGAGAATAACGTTGGAGGTCAGGTGCCCTTATGCGTTCATCAGGGCAGACACTGATGTATTCCTTCTCTGGCAGCCTGCAAATGCCACATAGGAAGTGCGGGTGGAGCATGCCCGAGCTAGAAGAGGGTCCCCAAGTGAGCTGGGGACATGAGCCAGCCTCAAAGGATTTGATGGCAAATGGAGGAGGTTGGTGGAGAGAGCAGACAATTGCAAGGAAGTCTATTGGCCACGCCGCTGCAAAGAGAAAAACAAATGCACACAAACTTAGCATCCCCTGGATTAAAAAGAGAATGAAACCACAGGTTCACTAATGTTTGCCACACACTATCCAGAGAAAGGGGCTTGATTTCAATACATTCTGGAATGCTTATAGTCCCCGAGTAAAGACAACAATGCAGGAAAAAAAAAAAAATCAACTCCTTGATCCCTGATTTGGCTGCAAAGCTCGGGCTGCAGCTCCCAGTCTCCCCAGACAAGGCAAACTCTGGGATGAGGGGGGCAGGGCCGCGGAGCTGGAGCGAGGGAGCTCAGAGAGGCTGCGGGAGGGTTCCAAGTTCAGAAAGCTGATTCATTAGCGGAAGGCTAATCGATTAATAAGCAGGGGAAAATAAAGCCACCGAGCACAGAGAAATACTTGAACTCGTTATTCCTGAGTCTCTGGGAAGATGACCCTTTGAGAAAGCGAAACAGCCTTCAGTGATGGGATGAGTCAGAGAAGCGGCAATTCTCCTTAGATAAGGTCACAAATGTGATTTCGTGGTTGAAATGGGGAGACTGCCAAGTCAGAACCCGCTTGCCAGCTATCCAGGCGCGCCCTCTCCTGGATATTGCTGGTACCACTGTTCCTCCAATTTTTCTTCACGTCCCATGTTCTCCATTATAACCTCCTATAGGAAAATCAGGGTTTAAAAAATATTTTTAACTCAAAATGATATGTACCTATTGTTTCCTGATATACGGAGGTCTTTTGATGTCAGGAGCAAGTCACGGATAGAATTATCCTGTTCACTGAGCACCTGTTATTGTTTCAATGTTATCTTTTATAGGCTTTATGTCAACCACTGAGCTAGAAAGTATATAAGACTTTCCCCAACATGTAGGTAATGAAAGTGGGATGTTGTAAAATCAAGTTATTGTACCACATTCAACAGTTTGTCTTAATTTCCAATCCTTTAACCCTTGACTTCCTTTACTCTGTCCAAATCATGCTCTACAATAGTTAACTTTTGAGAGGGGTTCCAGTGGGCAGCTAATTCTTTTTTTGGGGGGGTGGGTGCTGGGGATCAAACTCAGGGCCTTGCACTTTTGAGACAGGCAGCAGAACCACTGAGCTAAATCCCCGGGCCTCTGCAGTTAATTCTTCCTAAAAGAAGTAAAGGATCATTATATCAACAGACATCATTTCCTAAGTGAGTACTTGCATTTGGCAGGGTCAGGGGAGTGCTAGAGGCAGGTCTGTTTCACTATTAACAAAGAGCAAAAAAGAATCATATTCTGCATTTAAAAAGACAATGATCACTTCATTTCATGGCTTTAATAAGTCAGTTTATTCATACTTAACTAAAGGTGATTACATATACACATAGGAAAGAACTCTCTTGGAAGTATCCCCAAACTGGAATTCTAGGCAGTCTGTTGATTTTAGACTAGGAGAATGCCCTTACTGAAAGTTGCTTACAGCTTACTCCAGGAAAGGAGACCTCTAGGAGCAACTTCTAAGATTTAATTTTCCCGGGCTAGGGAGCGCCCTTCCAGGATGATGCTCTTGCGGCAGATTTGCTCATCTGGTGCGTTAATGTGGTTACTCTTTGTGCATCCTGCCTTTGCTATACTGTATTTCTGGGATGGGGTTCCAGAATGTCCATTAGAAAAGATTTCCCCATTCGATGCCATCATTCTCATCCACCACCTAAAGCACGTGCCGCTTCTTCGTCTTCTTCGCAGTCCAAGTCCTTGGGTGACAGTAAGAACCGTCACAAGAAACCCAAGGACCCCAAGCCGAAAGTGAAGAAGCTCAAATACCACCAGTACATTCCCCCAGACCAGAAGGCGGAGAAGTCCCCACCGCCCATGGACTCAGCCTATGCTCGGCTGCTCCAGCAGCAGCAGCTCTTCCTGCAGCTCCAGATCCTCAGCCAGCAGCAACAGCACCGATTCAGCTACCCAGGGATGCACCAAGCACAGCTCAAGTGAGTCAGGGGCGCCTGAGGCGGTGGGTGAGGCAGAGGTGTGGGCTGGCTTCTCTCTGTCTGAAGCTAGTGGGTCCAGCACCTGGGGACCCAGCAAGTCCTGTGCATCATGTCCTTGGGCGGTATGTTTGGAATATGACTTTATTTAGAAATCGTGCATCCTTTTTCAGGACCCCAACAGTGAGAGTAATCATGTCAATCAGTGCCCTTTGGGGGACAAGGAAACTTAGCATTTCCAGATTGAACTATGCAGCATCCAAGAACACAATATAGGCATTGCTCGCAATTCCAGTACTCTTCTGCTTTGAGAAGCAACCGAGCTGAATTGCTGAGTGACAGCGCCCCAGATTGTCTGCATGTCCCATGTTGCTCCTTCTTTAATTTTTATTTTCATTAGTACATACTTGCAGTACATATGATTACATTTATCATGGGGAGTTGGTATATGTACATAACATATCTTAATTCTTTTCATCCCCTTTCCCTCCCCTCCCTCCACCTTTTAAATGGACAATATCCTCTCCTCCACATTAGATTCTCTAACCTGTCTGCTAGCCACCCTCCGGTCAAGTTGACAGTCATGATGAATGCTGAACACAGGCTTGCTTCACAAAGCGTGCTCAGCGCCCCCTAGTACAGAACAGTGCATCTGTTCAATTATAGACTGACATACACCCTCCTCAGCCAAAGTGTCCACCCTCCTTCCTGCCTCCCCCAAACAAACCCTGGGTTTCTGCTAACTTGCTATTTAGTCTGTGCCATTGCTTCTCCCCACTTTGCAGTCTTCTGCCGATTTACCACATACTTTATCCTTGCAGGCAATCACTCTCTGATCAGATCCAAATACAAGATGCCCCCTATATGTCCAAGGATATTATAAGTGTCTCTGTGTTTTCTAGAGAACCAAGTGAACAGATGGCCAGAAATCCAAACTCTTCAGCGACACCACTCAGCAACACCCCTCTGTCCCCCGTCAAAAGCAGTTTTCCTGGACAAACTGGTGTCTCTTCTCTCAAACCAGGCCCACTCCCACCTAACCTGGATGATCTCAAGGTACAAGATTTGACATGATTTCCATTTCTTTTTAACAGATAGATCAATATATTATTACCAGCATCTTTTGGCATCTGATATCTGGAATTTTTTTTAAAAAAAGCAGAAGTGAGAGAAGAAAGAGTATGGGAAAGCCTCGTGGTAGTGACAGAAATTAGGCTGCAGTGACCAGTCACCCAGAGAGGACACAGCCACAGGTCCCTAGCTCAGCTTTTCTGGGCAATGACTCCTAGGGTCAAATGGCCTTTACACTGTTTTGACATCTTAGATCTCTCATTTGCACAAATGGCCTAGCACGCAAGATAGAACTTAGCACAAAGTGTTAATGTACAGTTTGCAAAACCTCCAGAATGGTCCAAACCAGCGGTCAATCCAATGATGATATTTTTACCCATCTTGCAAAATGAGAAAAATAAGAACCATGAAAAGCACTTTTCATATACCTAGGTGCATTCTATGAATTTAACATTCACTGAAAGTGTAGACCTCTTTACAGTGTTTTCAATTGTAAGTCATTCTTTCTATTAGAAAATGATGAGAGAGAAAAGAGAAAGTGATGAGCATAGTAGAAGGCAGTTTAGTGGCTTTGGTAGGGATATATTCCCTGGTATTAAATAACGATCCTAGTCTTTAACAAACGAAATAAAATGTTGGTAACTCAGTGTTACTAAAGCCATTTAAATTAATTTTCTGTTCTACTAAATTCTCAAATCTAAGAACTTCTCTCCTGAGGCAGCACCTTTGAAAAGTTACATGCGTTCCACGGCTTATGCCGAATCACAGACCACATGGATCTCGGTTTTGCAAAATGACGCTGAACTTTGAGATGAACCTGGTGTGCTTCAAAGCAATCCTTAGGCCTGACATATTCATCCATCTATCCAGTAGTCACAGCAGAGCTGAATGTGACTTCTCCGTGTGTGTGACTACAATTCAGTTCCCACTCCATTCTCAGTAATCACGCTTGTTAACCTGGTTTCCACCCCACCTGTTACTCTCCATATGTTGCCTTACAATTTTCCCAAAAACCTGCATCCCTAGAGGTTCCCATACCTGCATCCTGCCAATTATATGGCTCTTCCTCCTTCTCAGTTCTTGTATCCCTCTCATTTCCACCCACAGTCCAATGCCATTAGTTATATTCTTAGGATGGGGAATGGAAGTAGGATTTGGATTATTTCCGATTAAAGGAGATTCTATGGCTGCAGAGTGTTAACACTAACAGATCCTGATATCAAAAGTTCTTCTGTTCTTTCTGCCTGAATTAAAAATGCTTAGGTTTCATTAAGCTTGTTTCAATTTTGCATCCATATACCCAGAAAAAGAAGCCCAGTTTGTGATAATGCTCTCTGGAGCCATGGGTCACTCACCCTCCACTCCCCATATCATGAATCCATAGAGGTAAAAGAAGCACTATACTAAGTCCACTCCAAGAAAGTAATATTATCTGCACCCACTTATAGGGGGCACTGGAATAGGAGAAGTCATAGAGACAGGAAGTAGAATAGCAGCTAAATGGAAGATGAGCTCAAAAAGGGCCAAGGGGAGCTGGTGTTTAATGGCTATAGTTTCAAATGGAGATGATGACAGAGCCTTGGAAGTGGATGATGATGACATTGCACAGTCATATGGATGTACTTAATGCCATGAGTTGTGCACTCACGTGGTTAAAACGTCAAATTTATGTCGTGATCATTTTACCACAATAAAAAAATTAGACTATTTCTGAATGGGAACCCTGAGTCAGGTAGGACTGGAGAGGTCTTAGCCCAAGAGAAAGCATAATCCAGATATGGCACTGCTGTGGGTTTGAGCAAAGTCACTGAAGGTCACTTTCTTCACATGCATCTGCTCAGAACCATGAGCAGGTAACATTATGATAATTGGGGCAGGTAAAGGAGATGGAGGTGATGTGATGGTATCTACATGTTGAGTATAAACTAGAAGCCAACCATTCTATATAAATCTATACTCTACAAGGTCCATTTTATCACCTCAATTTTTTAAAATGAAACTAAAAATCAGAATCTTAGAGGTTAAATGACAGGTAAGTTAACCAGTATGTAAATGGAAAAGGTGAAACTTGAACCTAGGTGACTGATTTCAGGTCCTTTACATTGTCCTGAGAGATGAGAGACATGCAGGGTGGGCGCCAGGCATTTCTGGAGTCCTAGGAGAGTCCCCAAGGGAAGAAATAGGGAGGTTAGAAGGAGCAGATGTAAAGGCACAGCAGCAAATTCATACTGTTCGCTACTGCTGAGTGACAGATCACAGCAGGACAACTGGGAGAAAAAGTCTACCCAGTTTCTACCTGTAAGAAATTGATGTGATTCAGCCCCATGTGTTGGCAAGTGTGGGAACAGAAGCTTGAGTTGTGTACAATACCAAGAGAGTGAAAGCTAGAAAACTGTGGAAGGAGAGTAAAAGGAAGAGTGGCAGGGAAGGAAGGCAGGGAGAAGGGGACAGAGGAGGGGAATAAAGGAAGCACAGAGCTAAGCCTACACTCCCAGCAAGTCTGAGGCTAAAATAGCAGGATAGCATGTTCAAACCCAGCCTGGACAATTTAGTGACTTCGTGATGCTCCATCTCAAAATAAAAAAATATAAAAGTCTCAGGCTGCAGCTCAGGGATAGAGCACTTGCCTACCATGTACAAAGCCCAGACTTTAATATACAGTACTGAAAAAAATCTATTTAAAAACATCAAATAATTTTTTTTTAATAAAGGAAATGCAGGGTGCAGCTGCATTTGGGGAAAGAAATGAGGAATATATAAAGTATATTCCCCTAAAATAATTACAAAGGTAAGATAATGAAAGTTATGTTTTCAAGAAAGAGGCGTTAGAATAAAAGGGAAGGAGCACAGAAAAAAGATTGAGTTTTCATTAAAAATTTATGAACGGTTATCACAGCAGAACTTATTTTTTGCATCCTGTTTCTAAGAGACTACAGACCAAGGGAGAGAGAAAGATTGAGAGCAAGGGAAATGGATGGAAAGCCTGAAAACTGGGAACATATATAATGGATATTAATAAACAACTGTTCACTTTTTAAAGGTGTGATAATGCTATTGTAGGTATGTTTTTATGAGTTCTTCTTTGTCAGAGATAGACACAAAATTTGAAATTATATAATTTGCTTCAAAATAATCTGAGACAGGTAGGGGAAGAAATGTGTTAAGGCATAAAAGAAATAAAGTTGGTTGATGAGTATATGAAGCTCATTACACTTTTCTATGTGCTCTTATCTATAATCAATGATTAAAAAGTTATGAATGATTAAAACATCACTGTGTGTAGGACATAGATGTAGATAAGCCCGCACAGCAAAATATTCTGAAGTTTAAGGTAAGTTGAACTCAACAAGTACTCATTTTATTTTAGAATATCAGCCGCATTATTTAATAATGTAGCTTAAATTATTCGGCGCCAGCACAGATTCTAAAAATAAATGTAGAACTCATTAATTTTAAGTCATTCAAATTTAAAACAATGCTGAGTTGTCATCTTGCACTTTTTGAAACCATCAAATCTAAAAAAAAAAAAAATAGGTAAAACATTACAGGGAAGAGTATTGAGGAAATGCATAGTTGCTGCTTAGTGTAAGAGGATACAATCTTTTTCTGGTAGCTTTAAACTTATTATAAAGTCACATATATCCACAGTTGACATAGGAAAATGTGTAGAAAAGTAAACAGTATTTTAGAAAACAAGAGTCACAGAAAGCATGACAGGTTATACTTCCTTCTAGATTTAAAATGCAAATGAACATTTATTGTTTCACAACAACCATTTTTAAATAATTATGTCTGTAAATTCCTGACATGCTTTCTTTCTTTAATACATCATGAACATTTTTTACAACTTTTAATATTCAATAAATAGAAATTTTTATTTTTGATAACATCATATCACTCCACCACCTAGTTAACATTCCACTGCTTGATGTTTAACCCGCTGCCAAATCTTTGTTAGGCAAAGCATGATTTCAGTGACCCTTGTGCATACATTTATTCATCTCTCTGATTATTTCTCCAAGCTAACTACAGCGGATCAAGTGAGATTCCTGAGCTAAAATGTTAATGTTTTTAAAAGTCCTTGAAGCATTTTACCAAATGTCTGTCCTCAAAATCTGTTCCAGTCTGTTCCCGGAAGCAGCGTGCTAAGGCAGCACTACTTAAAGGCTGCTGTGCAGGAAGTCACCTAGGCCTCCACTGAAATGCGGATTCCCAATCTGCAGCTGCAGGGTTAGGATAGAGGTGCTGCATTTCTAACCAGTTCTGAGATACAGTTCTCACTCCTACTCCTGGGATTATACTTTGAATAGGACGGTAATAAAGACTTTTCTCTTTCTAACGTTTTTAATTTTTGCTGCTACCTCACTAACACAAAGGATACTCATTTATTTGACAGTTTAATGGACACAAATATTGTATGTATTTATTTTCTTTTAATTTCTTGCACGATATATATATACATATATATTACTGGCTATTATTTGCATTTTATTTTTGCTTATGAAAAGCTAAAACATACCTTTTACCCACTTTCATATCTTATATCAAGTATCAACCTTTTACTTTTTTATTACTAAGTACACTTAATGCATTGGACTTTTTAACACTTTATTATTTGTGTTGCAATTATTTTTTCCAAGATTTTTAATTGGATTTGCATTTTGTGTATGGTTGTTTGACCTATAGAAATTTTAAATTTTGGTTGTCAGTATTTTTATTACTATTACATTTGCTTGTGTATTCAAAAGATCTTTTCCTTAAAAAGCTGAAGATATTTCCCTAAATATTCTTTTGTCTTATACAATTATTGCTAGTTAGCTATTCAGTGTATTTCCCATTTTAACAACAAGAGCAATATGTTTATGTGTAATATTTAGGAAACAGCAGTGATGAAAACCATTATTACCATCTTAGCATATATTTGGTCAGATTTTCCATATGCAAACACAAGTTAAATATTTATGAATATTATTTATGTAATGTCTGTAAAACATAGAATAAATTCAAACTTTCACTTACTATTATACCATGAACAGTTAGACATTGCCCAGTGTCAATAATTATTTAATACCTGTGGCATTCCATCATTTGTATGCTCTATCCGTTTATTTGAGCACATATTTGTGTACATTTCATAATTTATAAGTTACAAACATTATAAAATGCAGAGATGAACTAATTTAATAATCCAAACTGATATAATAAGAATAAGCCCATACATTGTGCAGTCATTTTCCAGGCTCTACACCAAGTGCTTTACAAATTTTAAGCCATTTGTCACAGAAGCAGGTAGGTGGGTAATATCCTATTTCACAGAGCAGGCTCAGAGGACCGCTGAGCTAGGACCAGGCAGGGCCAGGGTTTGGACCCAGGCTCTCATCACCACATCCGCTCTCAATATATGACCATCTCTTAGCCAGTCATTAAAACTAAGACATAAATTTTAATGTGGAGCTGTGGGTCTCAAAGTCTGGTCTAGGGACCCGCAGCAATACATCCCCCGGAACTTGTCACAAATTCAAATTCTCTGTCTCCTCCCCTCAACTCCTTTAGAGGGTGTTGCCACAAGCCCTCAGGTGCACGCGCAGATTTGAGAACCAGAACATGGTGGGAAGAAGCTTCATCCTGGAATCCAGGAACCCTACAAGGCACAACTGTGCTAAGACTATTGTTTGAGGGCTTGGGTCTGAACCCAGGCAGAGATCGGTTTCCTCATCTATAAAATGGGAACTGGGGCCAAAATAGGGTTTGGAGGACCGGAAATTAGGACATTTCTACCTTTCATTTGTCATTTTCTGTGAGCCCTGAGGTCATGAATGCATAGTGCAGATTCCCCTCTTAGGGTGGCTCCACTACTGGCTTTTGATTTTATAATGGTGTGAAAATGATATGCATGCCTCAGAAATTATATTTCAAATTTTGAATTTTGATGGTCTCCTGGGCTGGCAGCAACTCCGTCAGCCCTAAAATTGTGAAAGCCAGTGGAGGCTCTCCAGCATACTGTGTTGCTGTGCCAGGATGCTGGGAGGCCTAAATGCTTTTTCTATGTATGATACACTCAGTGTACGATGGGCTACAGAACCTCTCAGTAAGTCAAGGAACATCTGTGTGCGAGAAAGTTAAAAAGAAGTGTTAAAATTGTGCAAAACCGATTTATATCAGGGTTAGGAGAAGAAATTGGAAATAAGTAAAAATAGAGGAATGGGTACTGTAAACTTCCACATGTGATTTTTTCAAGCTAACTTAATAATAAATGAGCCCTTAAAAATACTATCGTTGGATATGCACTCACAACGTCCTGGTTCCTTTAGGTCTCTGAATTAAGACAACAGCTTCGAATACGGGGCCTGCCCGTATCAGGCACCAAAACAGCTCTCATGGACCGGCTTCGACCCTTCCAGGACTGTTCTGGTAATCCTGTGCCCAACTTCGGGGACATCACGACTGTCACTTTTCCTGTCACACCCAACACGCTTCCCAGTTACCAGTCCTCCCCTTCCACCAGTGCCTTAGCCAATGGCCTGTACCACTTCGGCAGCACCAGCTCCAGCCCCCCGATCTCGCCTGCCTCATCTGACCTGTCGGTGGCCGGGTCCCTGCCTGACACCTTCAATGAGGCGTCCCCGTCTTTCGGCCTGCACCCGTCCCCAGTGCACGTCTGCACCGAGGAGAGTCTCATGAGCAGCCTGAATGGGGGCTCAGGTCCTTCTGAGCTCGACGGGCTGGACTCTGAGAAGGACAAGATGCTGGTGGAGAAGCAGAAGGTGATCAATGAGCTTACCTGGAAACTGCAGCAGGAGCAACGGCAGGTGGAAGAGCTGAGGATGCAGCTGCAGAAACAGAAGAGCAGTAACTGTGCCGAGAAGAAGCCGCTGCCGTTCTTGTCTGCCCCCATTAAGCAGGAAGACGCCATCTCCAGCTGCCCTTTCACCTCACAACAAATGCACGCCAAAGGACAAAGCCACAGCACTGAGAGTCAACCACAGGCCTGCGAAGCTGCTCAGCTTCTGCCCCTTGGTAACACCCACTGTGTGGAGTCCTCGGGTCAAACCAATGTACTGTCTTCTACATTTCTCAGCCCCCAGTGCTCCCCTCAGAACTCACCACTGGGAGCTGTGAAGAGCCCACAACACATCAGTCTGCCCCCGTCGCCCAACAGCCATTACTTCCTACCCTCGTCCTCCGGGGCTCAGGGAGAGGGACACAGGGTGTCCTCACCCAGCAGCCAGGTGTGCGCCACACAGGTAAGAGCACCTTGCACTGGTCCTTAAGGGACACAGGAGATGGATTGCCAGACACTAAAGAACTGGTATTGAGACTTGCAATGTGAATGGCTTACCAGAAGCCCAGCAACTAAAATCTGCCAAACTTACTGATCTAGGTGGTGAATTTATCCTAAAAAGGGTCAGGTGACAAATATTTTGGGCTTCATAGTTCATATTGCCTGTGTCAGTGTCACAACTACTCAGCTTTGCCTTTGTACCACATAAGCAACATAGACATCTGGTAAATGAATACATGATTCCAATCAAACTTTATTTGCAAGAAGAGGCAGAGAGCAAAATTTAGCATGTGAGCCATACCTTGCTGACAACCATTTTCAGGACTCCTTGATATGAACTTACTTTATCAAGAAAGCCAAAGGGAGAGTTCCCAGACCTTATCCCTCTCTCCATAAAGTGGTATTTACTAAGCACCTATTGTGTGCCATGCTCTGTTCTGCCCAATAAGAATTAGCACTGGACTAACCAAACAAAAGTTTCTCTTCTCTTGGGAAGACAGATAGTAAGCAAAATCTTAACATTAAATTGGTATAATGTGTTAGGAGATGATACATCTTATGGAAGAACAGAAAAGGGATTGTATTTGTGGGAGAACCTCAAATCAAATCTTGAAAGATCAGGAAAATTTGAAGAAAACCTTTAGAGATAAAGGAGAAAACCTTGTGATGTTTAGAGTTAAGGCATTGAAATCAAAGACAGAACAACAGTAAAATGGCTCTGGGGTCAGAATGTGTAAAATATTCAAGTATCAGAAAGAAGGCCAGCATTGCTGGAGGAGGAGAGAAAAGTTGTAGGAAATGGCTTGGAACGGTAATTTAAAGAGTAGACTAACATGACCTGCAAAGATTTTTGTCCACTAAGCTGAAGAATTTATAAAGAAAGTCTAGATAACTCTATCTGAGAAAGAAAATTGTATTACCAAAGGATCTGAAATCTGTCTCATCAGAAAGGGACTAGGAAGCAACCCTACATTAATTGGATTCCTGCCAAGTGCCAGGTATGAACGGCCTGTTGGTAATCTCATTCACTGCACCACAATCCTGTGAACTCTAATTCATGATTCTTTATTTGCCACTGAGGAAAACGAGGCTCATTTTCAAATGAGATTCAGGTTAAAGCTATTGTGTAGGATCATACAAACCTCAGAGTATTTGATTCTAAAGTTCACTTTTTTCCTCCACTTTGAATATAGAAACCCCGGAAGTGTGAGGTGTGGCTAAAGTAACCAGGATACATTTTTACCAGCCTACCAGAAAAACACATTCAAATGAACGATAAGCCCCTCCTCAGGGGGTACTCCAGAAGGAATGTGAACTAAAATGAATCATTATCATAAATAAACATTGAATGCCTAGTGTCCCAGGCAACAAAGATAAAAATAGCTGTTAAGACATAGCTCTGGGACATAATTTTCATGATATTGGTGCTACGGAGTAACATTTTACAGTGGCTTATGACTTATAACACTCTTTGAAGCCGTTAGCAATTTCACAATGAAAAGAGAACAATACAGATAAGATAACTTACCTGTCTGTGCCTCTAACATTAAATGCCACACAGAGTAAGTGGTGATGGAGATAGAAAGTTTGATGATATATGAATAGAAGAGTCCCGGAAGTTTCTGTGAAGGTTTTGTCAGACTTTACAGAAAGTGTCGTGTGAAAATGGAAAGAGAAGCAAGGGCATTCCACATTCACAGACAGCGAGGCAGAACGTAGGGGGTGTGCTGTTTGTGGTGAGGATGGCAGAATATGGGCTTCCAAATGCAAACTGCATCAGAGTCCTGATTATTCATCCAGGTCATCCGTGAAGCTCCTGTGGTGTGGATATGAGAACCACTGGAACTTTGTGAACCATAGGTGATAGGTACAAAGCTAGCTTTTTTTTTTTTTTTTTTTTTTTTTTTTTTTTGTTGGGG